TAATTTTAATATTTAAAATTTTAATTTTAAATTTAAAACGCATCAATTTACATATCGACACCTCCAAACCATACCACGCTAATTCATTAGAGACGTTCCCAAGACAGTCCGGTCTACGTAACCGGAACGACCCAGATTTATATCTGGCCAAGGACTGTCACTCCAGCAGCACAACAACAACAAGTCATTAGAGAATTACAAGCTCAGTTATGCATACTTTGCACTGTATTGCATAACATGTCATTTTTACGTTATGCTGTGCGCTGGGTAACCGCTTACACGCAAAGCCCATTTAACAGATTCCTTATGTGTTAACTCTCGTGTAATGCCAAGTATGCATAACTGAGCCTTTAGTCAGACTCAGCATAGTACGGTTTGGAAGCGTCGATAGGTGCATACATCCATACATAAATCTTAATGTTTTTTCATTTACTTGATCTTTTTGTTTCGGTTTTCATTTCATTTATTTTCTTTTTTCTACTTTATTACTAACACAACTATCACTCACCTCATTAGCAGTTTAGTTTAATATTTGCTGCGCGTCAACAACTTGCCACAAATAGATTGAAAGTAAGTATGTATTTCATAAAAACGTAAATATATATACTATTTTAAGCTTTGTTCAAACTTTTTTCATTCAAGCTATCCAAATTTACGATGTTTCGATTGGTATCGATGGCAAATATTTAAAAACTGTCCTACGTCAAAATATCACAATTTTATTCTGACAGTAATTAAAATGTGTTTTAAAAACTACCGGTGAGTACATGCTTTTGTATTAAATTAAGAATAAAAAGAAAAAAAAATCGCATGCAAATATGGGTAAGGAAAGCTTTTTGATTAAAGCTGCAAGCCTACATACGGAGTGTATTCTTCACAAAATCGCGCTTCAGATCGTCGTGCTCTCTCAATCATGGAGTAAATTTAAAAGCGTTCCAGCTATCAAAAATCGGCAAAGTAATTATTAAATCCGATGGAGCCGTCACAACTGAAATTTTTTGTTGACAAAATTTTTCTAGTCCTTCCACAGACATGGGGTATTCAAAATTCCAGTCGCTATTCTTAGTTTAGAGAAGTGATGGGCAGAAAGATTCTTTACTTTGCGCACGTTTAGACAAAATGCCTTTGTGTTTTGGTCCATTTTCACAGAAAGCTGTGCGCACGATTCAGTTATTAACAATATTCATGGCTATCAATGAATCCATGGTAGTCCAAATTTTCGTGAATCCTACGAAAATTCTATCACCGAACTCGAATAGCTATGAACGAAATCGGATTCAGTGGTAGCTCCGATTTACATTTTTAATATAATTTCTGAGCTCTGGATCCGCGATCTCCTCAATCTTGATTTGTTGTAATAGAAAATGTCCTTTAAATGCATCAAAAGATCTTTAAAACAGTTTTCTTAACTATAATGCAAAAACAAGGATGCTACCCTTCTGAGCCTGTTATATACAAAGCTGTCAAGGTAGTCTCTTCGCTTGATCCGATGGATTGTAATAATATAATTACCCTGTACTGACGCTTAAATGACACAAAAAAAAAACGACGAGACACGTAAACTCCATTTTGGGTTATTGCAAATCTCTATATCGTGTCTCTAGATCAGATTATTTTCCCAAGTTATTTTCATTGCGAATGAAAAGAAATTCAAACTTTAAGACGGAAAATGTTACTCATACGCCACACAGTGGCGCAACCCATGAAAGTTAGCCGGACAAAATGATTTTATGGTCTTAAACTATAGAACGTACTAAAATAAGTCAATTAATGGTTCGGCAAGGGGGGTCTATTGCGCACCACATGTGCGGTACAGGGTTAAAAGTGGTAATTTTTTCACTTAATTCAGTATATGGTCAGTTAAAAGTTAAAAAGGACTTTAAAAGTATGTACTTTTGTCAATAACTCTTGAATGTTAACACTTCTGCACGTAAGAAAAATGTTAAAATTAATCGCATATTTTATGTCAGCGGACATTTGTTGAATTAAACCGTATTGAATTACCTCAAAATTTTACAATGAATTTTGTCCGGCTAAATTGATTAAATACGCCACTGTGCGCCATGTAAAAGTGCGACCATGTACGACATGGCGTATGAGGAACATTATTTTCTGCCCCTATTTCATAAAAAAAAATCATTGGACGTTTTTATTTGATTCTGTGTAAGTGTCCGAATGAAAACATTTTTTGGGTGCAGATTTAAGCAAACTTAAACTATAAAATGAAATTATTTGCGTTACAAAAGTTTTTTCTTTTTGCTTTTCTATTTCTGCGCCTCGTGGCGGAAATGCGAAATTCGAGCATGAGAAATAAAAGTGGAACGATTGAAACGTGCATTTCTTTCTTGTGCAAGAAGTCAACACGGATTGTGTGCGATCCAGCCACAGTTAATGGCTACACACAAAATAATGATTATATTCGCGAAACTATGGGTAAATCAATTATATAAATAGGCAATCATGTTCCCTTTACACCCCTTTTACGGCTAAACTATACTTCTAAGGTATAAACAATTATATATCATTAGAAAGGTATTTTGATGCTGATGTGCAGGCAATTTTTAAAATTTCAAATTAGTTTAAAATAGAGCGAAAAAATCAATTCAAAAGTCACACCAATACCAATACCGTACATGTACATGGTTGGGGCGGAAATGCCTCCTAAATGTATGCTTTAATATTGATACTGAATTACAGAAACGTGCTAAGCAGCAGTTTAGGAATAAGATGTATGTATGTATGTACATGAATAGATTAGACTCAAACAAGGAAGAAGGTGAAGTTGAGTATGGAGAAGAAGAAAGGGATAAAGCAAAGATTAACAGATGTACGAGAAACCGAAACATGAAGACAAAGAGGAAGGTAAATTTAAATTCTTAATAGTCTACATATGTAATCGCAAAGATGTGGGTGAATATGTAGATGGAGAAAAGATCGAAGATAAAGATCTGGTTAAAAGTCAAGGAAATGATATATATAAAAATTAAAAGATAAAGATATAAAAAATAATATCTATAGATAAAGGTAGAGACAAAGACAGAAAAAGAAAGAGATACAATTGAAGAATGACATGTTAAGTTGTTTTATTTTATGTTATGTTTTGTTATGTTGTGTTATGTAACGTTATGTTTTGCTATGTTACGTAATGTTATGTTATGTTATTTTATGTTATGTTATCTTATGTTATGTCATGTTATGTTATGTTATCTTATGTTATGTTAAGTTATATTATGTTGTGTTGAGTTGTGTTATGTGGTGTTGTAATGTTATTTTATGTTATATTCTGCTATGGTGTGAAACGCATTTCACCTCAATTCAGCTCAATTAACTCAACTCGGCTCAGCTCAGCCCACCTCAGCTCCCCTTAATTTAAAAGGTTGAATTTCAACCGCTGGGCGAACACTAGTTACAGTAAAACTGCGTACATAGTTTTTCTCTCTGATATCAGGATTTTTTAAAAGGACTTTGAAAATTGAATACTTAATATGAGTAATACAGAAAATGGTTTAAAAAATTTATTCTGGTGTACTTAGGAAAACAGAATGGGTATAATGCATCAAAATTTGCTAAACAAATATATTGTGTTACTCAACGGAAAATTACAGTTTGTTTGACAGATGTCAACCGAAAAAGTTTGAATGTGATACAGAACTCGAGATCAGTGTGCCTTAAAACATATTACGTTTAATTCTTGGCATTTTTTTTTTATTTCGAGAGAAATTAACAGCCCCTTCCACAGTTGTATACTCTTAAGATTTTAATTTGACGAAAATTCGTGACTAGCGTGTCTAAAACCCTTACCAGTAGCATCTAAAAAATATTTTCTTATTTTTAGAAAAAATACAGTTATTTGTCAGATGTCAACTCTCAACGTTTTCATTTGACATAAAATTCGTGATCAGCATGTCAAAAAACGTAATAAGGGGTATTTTCAAAAAGATTTTCTTAATTTTAGAGAAATTGGCAATTGATTTAACAGCTGTCAACTGTCAAACTATACATTTTATGGCATATTCGGATTTAGCATTACAACAATACTACGATCCCGCAGTTTTATTATAATCGTAACAGCCCTAATTTTTCACGTAAAAGATGGCTTGTCCGACCACTGTGCGGCGTATGGTTTTAATGAGAAGCTATTTTCAATGCAGAAATACGCTCGGAAATTTACCTTTGCCTGCTGAGGGGTGACCGCTATTAGGAACAACTTTTTTGTTTGGATGTTACTCGGTCCAGCGATCGAACCTTGGATCTACGTAGCGGTAGTGTAGTGCTCACCTCTAACCACTCAACCACGGCGGCCTCCCAACCATTTCATTGTTTTTTGTTTTGTTATTTTAGTATAACTTTTTCGAATCCTGTAAGTCCACTAAGATCTTCGTACTTCGGCTCTCTTTTCTTCAATTGAAGATGACTTTGTTCACGTATCCGTATTTCTATCGTCTGGTCGAGTTGCATTTTCTGAAAGATTTTTCAAAACATTTTATAAAATGTTCCAATACGTAGAGGCTAAAAATGATTGCAGAAAAATATCCGTTTGTGTGTCTTCTGAGTTCCAGTTGAAAGTAAGCATCATTTCGACATAAAAATAAACACTCATTCCTAGGGTTTTTCTAACGCTAGATAATGTCTCAGCTTTTGATTTTTACACTTAGTTTGAAATATCCAAATGAATGCATCAAGCTATTTTCATAAGAATACATACGAGGGTTGCTACTTAAGTTTTTAGATACGACAAAACTGATTTGAATATCTCAAATCGGGTATTGTCAACGTAAAGTTAAACATTTTTTATGGTAAACGTACTCAGAACATTTTGTCACCGAGTGTTATTTGTGTGTGTGTTTTTTTTTTCAAATACTCGATTCCAAATTCTATCCAAAACATGTGATTTGAACGTATTAACCGCATATTCAGGCCCCGAACGGCGGCATTCGATATCGAAATTTGGTTTTAAGGCCACGGCATACGATGGCGCATGCTTCTCGTTAATTTAAATTGTATTGGGAAGAAAGTATAGTGCTTATCATAACCATACGTCACTCACGTATTGTCCAAGATTTTACTATTTATTTTATGTTTTTGGAATTCTAATTATTTTTTATAAAAGGTATAGCGTATTCCTCCGATTTTCAATGTTTATGCAATATTTGAAAAAACTTTGGCAAAAATTTCGGGCTTCTTAATTTGATTTTCTGGAAATATTTTCAGTATGCAGTGTTTTAGCCCATTCAATTTTAGCGCAATAAAATGCAAGTTTGAATAGCTGTTGGTTTTTGACAATTTTATTTTATTTTTTTGTTGAAGATGTCAGTCATTTCGGGCCCAGGTGTCAAATAGCGTGGACCTCGCAATTTGTATTTATTTTTTTATCCGCAACTTAATTAGCAACCCTCGTATGGGTTTTTTGAGGCAACTGGCTATTATATTGGGTTAGATATCCACGCTTCTCACAAGCGGATGTTTCCTTAAACTAAAAAAAAGTCTTGAAAATCCCACAACTCTCGCGCCGGTATTGCCAACATTTGTTTGAAGGGTTATTGGTTTTTTTTTTAGTTGTTAAATAACTGATATTTATTTTTAGTTTATATACATTATTCACATCAACTTACGCTCACTGTCAGAATGAAAGTCGATACAAGAGCATTGTTAATTTTTTTTTACTGGCACAGTTTATTAAATAATTCACTTATAAATTTATAATTGTAAATTTAGTTTATAATTCAATTTAAACAATTGTTTTGTTTGCCGGAAAATAT